AAGGCTACAACAGAAGAACTATAAAACAGAGTGGTGTGTTATGTGTATGTGTGCATATGTAGATATACACACAGACACACACGCATAAATTTGATGCATATTATATGCTGTTTGGAAAAAAATGTGTCTGTTTCATAGCTTTAGCAATAAGAAGGTATTATATGTACTATGAATTACTCACTGCATTATGTTTACTTTTCCAGTTGCTCATTGCTGTATTATATATCTTGATCACGTAGCTGAATCCTTGCCCAGCATTTGTCCCAAGCCTGCAGATCATTTAATGGCATGTGCAAAACGCTTCAATACAATCAATAGGGCAGCTATGTTTCAACAGTAAAATACTACAGATACCAATTCATGACATATGATTAAAGATGTGGTGATATTTGATTGAAATAAACAGTCAAAACTGATCACTGTTGGTAAATTATGAACATCTCTTCCACATATTACTTAGGCTAAGTACATACAGTATAACTCAATTAGATTTCATGTTGCTTAAATGTTGCTTCAGTGAAATGGTTAAACAGAAGTAAAGAAAATTTCTGAATTGTGAGAATGAGAACAAACAAATGGATATGTGAATGACATGATAAAAACCTGGCTCTCATAAAGAAATAATCAATTATGGTTTGAAAGCTCTGTAACTTTCAAAAATGAAAATAAAATCTGAACAGTCAGTTTGCACTCCAATATGTTGATGTGAAAGACATGTTGATGGTCATGCAGAAAATGTAGAAAGGCATTGCAAAACAAGCTACATTATATTGCTTTAAGGGCTTTCTGAGCTGCATTGATCAGTATCAGGTTTGGGACAAACTTTTGTAGTATTTAACAGTTTATACTTATTCAAAGGCCCAAATTTCAATGTCTTGTATAATGAAGTCTTCTTTCTTAGAAAGTATGCGATTCCCAAAGGTTTTACAAGAGTTACTTCTTCCGTGATAGAGATCTCCATCAAGCCATAAAGCAAATTCACCCCTGCAGTGTGAAGAGAATTAGTTTGCCAGATATTAAAAATAATTTTCTTCCCATTGCTGTATTCAAATGTAGGTCACATTTTAAATCCATAAATTTTCCTTCAATTTCCCCCCCCTAATTTGAAAGCTTTAGATTGCTTTTAAATTAAACGGTCAAGGTAGAAGCAGTGAGCACCTTTAACAATTTTGTTAGAAGTTGAGATGATGACATCTTTATTCCAGTATATTTGATATATATGATAAAACAGCAACGAGGAAATAAACAAAACCTAAACCTGGCATCTAGGGTTACTTGGACTTGTTCAGCCTGGATCCAACAGTCTCATATTAGCATGGCATACTGTATTGAGTAGAATAAAGATGCATGCACAAATGCAAACTAGGTCTGCCATGGAAATGTTGTAATAAATGAATAAAATCAAGAACTTTATCTTCTTTGTGGTTAGTCACATTTAAGCCACAAGACTGTAGGCTGAACAGAAATTGGGCCAAGAAAAGCACATTTTGGCTTTGCATTAAAAACTGGGTTCTATCTATCTTTTTTATCTAACCGATTTAAAAAAATGCTTTTACCTTTGCTAATAACCAAGACAGACAAACTAAATCAAGTAAGAGCCAATCTGGATTAATGGTGACAGCGATGACTTAGAAAATAGGAAAAAATGAGTTCTAGTCCTCACCTTAGGCATAATGTGCTGGGAGATTTTGGACCACCCCCCTCTCTCAGCCCAATTTATCTCACAGGGTTATTTTTGGTGGGAAAAATAGGAGAGGAAAGAAATATTGGTATGTTCACTGCCTTATTTTAAAAACGAAAAGATGGCCTTTCAGACTTGTTCAGAAAAAAAAATGCCAACATTGGCAGGAGGCTGCCATAAAGCAAACAATGTGGGCATGGAGATACTTGGAATCTCTTTATAAGGAATATCAGAGTATAACAGCACACTAATGTTGCATCAGAACATTTTATCAGAATGAACAAAAATGATAAAGAACTACTAACCCTCCACCACCAAAAGCCAAGGCATCCATATCTCCTTTAAGAAAAAACATATTGTCTCCAGTCCATTTGAAGACCTAATGGTTAAGAAAATAAATGAAGACAGACAAACACAGATGAAAGGAAATTATTGCTAAAAGAGAACAACAAACATACATCATAAGACATCATTATCAATTTCTGCTTCAGAAAAATCCAGAAACTTTATTGTTAAAATGCTACAATAAAGAATGCCCGTATTCTCTGTGATAGCTAACTAAACTTATTTCAATATATTGAAATTCTATCTATCACCTGAATGTCTATCCCTGTCCACTAAATTCAGTGAATCATGAAGTAAACCTTATTNAACAATGGAAACATGTCATGTTCCGTGGTGATCCAAAATCTACCTGTATCTTCCATTATCCACCAATTTTGTTCCTTCTAACAATTATATGTGTATCGACTTTTAAATTTTCAATCAGCCTGGCTTATACATTTTGCTGAATATAATTTATATACTAGAGTTCCTGGAGATTGATAGACTGACTGATTGACTGGTTTTGACTATTTAAAGTATGGGTTAAGTTTACTGATTACCCCTTTTTCCCTTTCTAGGATCAGTCTATAAACTAAATAAAATGAAGGACTTCAATACTGGTTATTCTTGTCTGATGTAAAATTGGCATCTGATATGATTACAGGGAAATTCTAGCACAGCCAGTGATTCATATGAACTGTTTTAGCTCTATGTTTATATCACTTACCAATGATTGCCTTCCTCTTACAAAATCTCAAGCATGTAGGATGGAAAAAGTGAGAGATGTTCTTTCCTCTCTTACCGGACAAATATTAATCAAAGGCAAGCCACTTTTTTATTGACAATTACACGATAATAGCAAATGACTTGAGTGAGTTGAAATGTGGGAATGCTATTGCCATTTTGTAATCACAGATCCTCTATTACTAATCTCAGTACTAGTTAATGCGGTACAGTTGTCTTATTTACTGCAGATGCCAAATAGCTGCCATAAAACAAGTAGCTGGCTTACCATCAAACTAGGTTGGTCTTTTGAATTCCTCATGAACATTCGCACAGCAACATGGAATCGTTTCAAGGTTTCTCTATGGAAAAAAAAATCTACCTAGCAACCAATAAATACAGGGGAATTTAGGAACAGAATGTAAGATTGTTTCTGGGTTTTTGCATGGAAAGTCCTACCTGGCTATCAATAAAGACAGAAGAAGAACAATTGTTTTCCCGCAAATTGATGCCAAATTCTTAGTTACTCCTCCTTGTGGCTGCTAAGAAAATGGAAAAATAGAAATTAAGATTCCCTGCACTTGTAATACAACTTGAAATTAATGAAGGACCAAATTAGTTTTGATGAATCTTTTATGGTTTCAGAATCTGTCTTTGCAGAACCCCCTTTTGATACTTTTATTGAGCTCCTGGAAGCCACTCCTGGGAGGAATGGGACAATTCACTGTGGCCAACTCGCCATGGCCATCTTGCNTTCATACAAAAACGTCACACAATAACCTCTGTTCAAGTGAACTACATGTGGTCCAGAGGTGATATTCAGCAGATTCTGACCAGTTCTGGAGAACCGTAGTGGAAATTTTGAGTAGTTCGGAGAACTGGTAAATACCAGCTCTGACTGGCTCCACCCCCCATCTATTCTTGGCCTCCTGAGTCCCAGCTGATCAGGAGGGAATGGAGATTTTGCAGTAACCTTCCCCTGGAGCGAGGAGGGAATGGAGATTTTACAGTATCCTTCCCTTGCCAAGCCCACCAAGCCATGCCCACATAACCGGTAGTAAAAAAAAAAAAAGAATCCCGCTACTGATGTGGTCAATATTTCTTTCAAATAAAAAAAAAGGTAACTGTTGCAATGTCAGGATTTAGAACCTTTGTTTTCAACCTCCCCACCCACTCCTATTAACAGAATAAGCCCAAAAATATTGTTTGAAACGTCAGAGACATTTTCATAAAATAAAATGCTCTTCTAGTTTCCGGCACGCGTGTGCGGCATGCACGCACACCCATTTTGGCACTCGGTGTCAAAAAGGTCCATCAACACTGCCCTTTACCATATCAGACAAATGGCTATCCAATTTCTTCTTGAAAACTTCCAGTGTTGGAGCATTCATAACTTCTGGAGGCAAGCTGTTCCACTGATTGTTCTGTCAGGAAATTTCTCTTAGCTTAATTTGCTTCTCTCCTTGTTTAGCCTCCATCCATTGCTTCTTGTCCTACCTTTAGGTGCGTTGGAGAATAATTTGACTTCCTCTTCTTTGTGGCAGCCCCTGAGATACTGGACCACTGCTATCATGTCAACCCCAGTCCTTCTTTTCATTATAGACACATCCAATTCCAGCAACTGTGCTTTATACGTTTTATCCTCTAGTCCCCTAATCATTTTCTCTGTTGCTCTTCTCTGCACTCTTTTTAGAGTCTCAACATCATTTTTACATTGTGGCTACAACAAAAATACAACTCCGGAGACCAGATTTTTTTATATATATTTGTAGCAGAAATGCAGTTCTGTCTTTAGAGANTCAACCCACCATGTCTCTAATATTAAATATTATTATGGAAGTGTAAAATGTATCCAGGCCTTCAAAAGAATCTATATATTTATTGCAAAGGGAACAAATCCCTTGATACTTTTGTAGATTAACACATTTGTGGTAAAAGACTGATCTGAATTTTCCCCCCTCCAAAAATAGTTAACACTTCCACATTTTTGCAATCAAGTCTTCAGTTAAATCTACTGAACTGCAGTGAAGTTACTTTGTTTTTAAAGTACCAACAGGAAGGGCAGTGGAAAACAACTTTGGTATTATTGCCAGGAATGACGTATATGGCAACAGCTACAGAGCCACCAGGGCTTGAGTTCAGCTTGAAGGTTGCTAATTTAAACTGCTATAGTGTTTTGCACTATCTTTATGATCAGCCTGCTAGACTAAGTTTTCTTTTGGGCGGGGGGGAGGATTAAAACAACATTGAGCTTTCTTGTGTTATAGTTAAGTTGTCTTAGCTAAATTTAAGAATTGTTATGGGGAAAGTGGGGCGCGAAGGAAAGAAAAAGTGGCCATTGCAATTTCCATACCTGTCCATCGCTGTCTTTGATAACCAGCAGCACGGGTGTGTCTAATCCTGCCATAGTTCTGTACAAAGTCTTCAAGCTCATGCCATGCTTTGCAGTACTGAAGACAAGAGTCCATGGATAGCCAATAGTTCGAGGAGGGAGCTGTTTTGTCAGCTAAAGAAACACAGGTGCAAGTGAGGCAGGCGCCCTGAACAAAAGGGTTTTAATTCTTGGGGACAAAACATGTTGTGTTAAACATACAAAAAATTAATATTTATATTAAATCTTATGTCTGATGCGTTATAGAAACATTTTCAATCCTTACACTACACAGAGGCAAAATGAATTTGCTACATTAAGTAATTTACCTGGATTTAAGCTCTACTGGAATTACCTGGGTTTTATTTGCAAGGAAATGATTTTAGGAGAAGAGTATTAGGTCTTGTGTTTTGCCCTTTGTGGTTATTGAGTTGAACCTAGCCTGTTCAAATTACACTGCTTCAGGAACTGAAATTGTATTGCTGAATATCCTACATATATTTTGACAAACAAGGCAACAACCTGGATGAGATGAAAATCAGAACTTTTTCTATTCACCTCAACATGGCCCTTCTTTTTTCCCTCTTACTTATTAGCAAAAGTCATAGCTTGCAGCCAAGTACAAACAACATGCAGCAACATATAGCATCTCATAGAAAAACTATAAACTGCACATCATGGTGCTTAACGTCATTAAAAGCTACTAGACATACTGAAAGTACCATTCAGGGATTGTCCATTCTAACTGAATTTTATTTATCAACTATATTTGCTGCCTATATTGTAGCTGAAGATACTGGGGCTTTTTCTGGAAACCAGACAGCAGGCTAGATACCCAAAGTCTTGTGTTCCCTCTGGAAGGATTTCCCGCCAACAATCTGGGTATCTCCAATACTATTAATGTTTAAGAAAGCCACAAATATTTTCAAGGATTAATTAGAGATTGAGTAATACCAGGTTCAAGGTCAGTTTTAACTTCCTGTTTATATTATTATGCTTTATACTGTATTACTTGATTTTTTAGGGCTTTTCATGTATATAAGATGCCTTGAGTTGTTTCAAAGTTGGCATACAAACAAAAGTAGTAAATAAACTACTGAAATCCACAGGAATTATATTTCCTACTGTTGCATCATATTTTCCAAGTCCTAGAAGCTTATTGGGTATGCTTGTGACCAATGTTCAAGGAGGAATACTCAAGGATTAATAAGCCTTATTCTTTTTTTCTCTCAACAAGGAAAGAAGTTGCTGATAAAAAGCCCTGAAGATAAATAAAAATGTGTCCGCTAGGATAATTCTAAGATCTGCAAATGACTCTATGGACAATTAAAGTTGTAATTTAGATAATCTCCTCATGATTACAACTAATAGATCCAGCTTTATGAATTGCAGTTAATTCAGAACTGTTTCATTTACAACCATTTTTTCTTCATCCAAGTAACATTTCTATCTATTCCAGATAGAATACTATTCCAAAGAAGTATATTTTAAACAGATCGATTCAGATTTTGGTTTTATGCTTTAATATAAAATAAACAATTGCAGCAGCCAGGTTAGGCTTCCCTACTTCCCATATAATAATGATATACAGAAAGTTTTGAATCTGAAATGTTTTTGATTACAAATGTATTTTGTGTGTGAAATACTTTGTTTCAACTTTGAAACAACTGTTTGATCCTTGTTGGAATAGTTACAACATTGTTTTGATGACTTTGGAAATGTTCCAAGTGTTTTGAGTTCAAAACACTCTCTCCTTAACCTTAAAACACCTGTTTTGAATTTGAAACAAGACTATTTTGAGCTCATGATGCTTCTGGAATGGTTGGACGACACTGGGATACTTGTACTAAGGTTGGAACAAACTACTTTGAATTGTAGTCAACTGTTTTGGATTTGGCCTAAAAATGCAATGATTCAAACATGAAATGTTTAATATTGAAATTAAACATTTCATGTTTCAGATCTCTAATTTAAAATAAGAATTGAATAGCCAAAGTGAAATGTTAGAGCAAATAGCTTTATTTTTTCCTAATTTTTAAGGTCATGCTTAAAAATGGTAGCGCAACATTTTCTATTATTTCATGGCTTCATTTATTTTGTTTTAATATTAGACCAATAAATGAATTCCTTTGGACAGTTATAGATAAGAGATGGGAAATGGGGTGAAGAGGTAATTGGAGGTGGTGAAGAGATACTAAATTTATACTTGTGATTCATCCTCGCGATGAAGGTTGGAAGTCACTTCCTTATGTATTTCTTTACTCTTTATTATATTCTTACTTTTCCTTTTCCTACTTTGTACTTTTCATTCTTATTTGTCTTATCTTTGTTTAATTTGTATTATGTACTATTATAATAAAAATTATATACATAAAAATAAAGCGACATAGTTCTTTCCAGTGCTGTTGGCCAAGAATAAGTGAGAAGAGAAAAGGATAGCATTAAAAAAAAATACTGAGAAGCAGTCATATTGGTGCCTAGGAATTGTCTCATGTGGTTCAGAGAGTGGTTCATTTAAGTTCAGTAGCAATAATCCCAAATATAGCAACTATTTCTCTATTTACTAAGTAACTTTCATCTCTTTTTACAAATATTTTGCTCTTTATAGAAAGTAGTTTATAGGCTGTGTATTACTGGTGTGTTTTCATGTGTTAATAGAAATAAAACTTAGACTTATATACCACTTCAAAGTGCTTTACAGCACTCTCTAAGCGATTTACAGAGTCAGCATATTGCCCACAACAAACTGGGTCCTCATTTTACCAACCTTGGAAGGATTGAAGGCTGAGTCAATCTTGAGATGGTCAGGCTCAAACTCCTAGCATTGGGCAGAATTAGCCTGCAATAATGCATTCTAACCACTACACCACCATGGCGCAAAATCTTTTTGGTTTAATTTTTTTCTGAACATTGTTGGCAGAATGCTATATGCAGTCCTGTACACTATATTTCAACAAAAGGAAACTTCAAGCCAATCGTCAGAAATGTTTGTATTTATTTATCTGGTCTTGTTCATATGCTGCATGGGGGTGAATAATGCTTTGTTTCCTTATGAATTTTTAAATGCTCTCTTTTAAATTTATAAAAAAACTTGAAATGCTTCTCTTGTATAGATTTTCACTATGTAGGGTGTCAAACAGGAGTCAGAATAGATTACCAGAGAGTATACACAAAATTCAGTGATTTTGGAAATGAAAGTTCCTTCCAGACCACACCAAACCTCCTTCAGATCATGCCATTGGAGGAGCAATTGGTAACTTCTGACTTCTACTGAACTGCAACTGATTCAAGGTGTCCTCAGTATGTTACTCTAAGACAGAGCTGGACCTTCTGTTGCACGTCTTGAACCACTTCCAATTTGGAGAAGTTTTCTCTTGTAATTACTCAACTCTGTTGAGAATGCCATGGTTGAGAGGACTGAAATGTTCTATAGTTTTCTGGAATGTGATGAATCATTGGATGTTATACATCCCAAAAAGGGAGCAGGATGCTTTTTTTGAATTCCTATTTTTCCAATTACTCTTTGAATTCCCATTGCTCTCTATGGCAGAATATGCAAAACATTTGAAATTTCATTCATATACTGAAAGCTGGAAGGATTCTGAATTTTGTTATGTTAGAATTTAATCAATTGAAAATATTTCAAGTATTGTGTCCTATGTTTGAAACAAAGCATTTTGTTTCTTGCATATACTTAGTAAACAGCAATTACTATTTCAATTCAATTTTCTAAAACAATTTTTATTGCAATGCGAAAGCTGTGTCAATATAAGGAATACCACACTTTTTCTATATGATACCTTTTCAATTTCATCCGACTGTAACAGTTCACTGGGATCACTAAGATTTGGCCGAAATGCTTCAGGCTCCAGTTCGGTTTTGATAGTTGTTTCTTGCTTTGAACATGTATCTTCTCTTGTAGTAATCTGCATGGAGGGAGAAAGTTGAATTAGCATTCAAAGTGCTATTCAAAACAACTTTCCTTATCACATTCTTCCTGTAAAACGGAAAATTTTGCTTACCTGACAACTTGTGTAATGTTTTAAATATCAGAGACAATGCCAGATTCCAATGTTTAATTTAGATATGGCCCATCACTCAAAGAATGTGAGATTGCAAGCTTTGATCCATTTCTGTTATTTAAATTGTGATTTTGTATCCATAATTTTTTAAGGTACTATTTGATCCTGATTAAAACTGAATCTCAGAGGTAAACATAATAGAATTCTCTCAAAAATATTACACTTCAGTAGTATAATATTTGTACCCCGGCATACAGAACCTATTTAAATCTATCCTTTAGTAAGAATAAGTTGACTACTCATACAAACAGAACCAGCGTCTCTTGAAGAGAAAATCTTACATGAAAAAAAGAATAAGAAAGAAAAAGAATTGCAGCCCATAGGTTAAATTATTTTAAATATAAGCTGCTTTTAATATTGTGCATGCCCATTCTAATCTTAATCTGTGCAGTCTTGCTGCACACATAAATATTCACATGAAAATATAACATAATTACCTGATAATAAAGATGTGTGCTCTTGCAACAATGTATAAAATCTTATATACTGGGCAGGAATTCATGTAGATAAATGTTAGAAAAGGTCGAGATTCTGAGTCAATTTTTTATCATCCATTCCCCATTGAAACTTATCACTTCTCTCCTGGCTTCACTCATTTCCAATTTCAAAACTAGGCATAAAATTGGAAACAGCTGGAGATTTGGGTGGAGCAGACCATGCACAGAAGGGATAAGACATCTGGGATAAGGATGGATCTGGCTACCCCTCCACTCAATGCTTCTCTGTTTAAAACTAATTTAATTTTATTGTTTGAAAATAGATGTATTCTACTTGATGCACCTATCCTAGAGGTATTGGAAGATCTCTTAAACGTTCAGTAATATTAAAAGAACCTAAATACATCAACATTTCCCACAAAACACAGAACTGCTGTTCCCATCTCTTACATACATCTTGTGTACATTTACTGAGCAAGTGATCAGCAAGAACTATGAGAGAAATCACATGGAAAAATCATATTGCTGCAATAGGAATATTGTAATTTTTAAGATAGTATCTGTCAAGTTGAAGTACTGTATCTTTATGGTCCACACTATAAATGATATATACACATATAACTATATGATTTTACAATAATCTGTATGGCATTTCCAATAAACATTTTATATGGTATTGTAAAGTAAGAAAACTCCTTAGCTTAATTCCATTGCAAGCTAAATGGGTTAATTAAAATGATTTAGAATAATTGCAAGATTTATCCTGGAGAAAATCTGTCTGTGTAGTTACCAAGACATGATCTGTCTTGAATGCACACATGTAATCAATAGTTGCAAGGCAACGAATGTTTATTTCAACAATCTAAATCAAATATTAATGCTATGCTTCACATAATCAGCCAACACAAGTTTCCAATAATAACAGTTAGAAATTTTGTCATGCTGCAGGAATGATTATTCTACTTCAACAGGTTCTATAATTCTTTGCCCCAACAAATATTCATTATCAGTAACATTAATCACAGCTAATACAAGCAAAGGGATTATTTTAAATTAGTTTTGCTAAAAGCTTCCATGCAGTATTTAAAAGGTATCTACTTACAAAATGATTCACCAATTAAAAGAAGGAAGACTATGTAGTTGATATATGACCCTTTAACTGTGTTTAAGGAATACCATTTGATCTGACTGTTTGACAATTGTTTTCTTGAAAAAAAGGAACTTAGCAAGTATTTATATAACTAATTTAATGATAAAAACTTGTATCTTTGAGATATTAAATAATAACAAAAAGTTTATCCAGTTACTAAATTAAGTTCTGAAATGCAAATGACAAGATTTCTATAATGGCAGATATCCTATAAGGAAATTTGACAGTCACATAATTGCCATTTGATCATCAATGATTTGGATGAGGAAATAAGCGGGGAACTCATCAAATTTGCAGATGACACCAAGCTGGCAGGAATAGCCAACATTCCAGAAG